GACCATACCTCACTGAATTGAAGATAAAATATGCACCATTTGTTTTATGTACTACAAAGAAAGAAACAAAAGTGCTAATGGACCTGAGCCCTGTGAGTGACTGCAAGACACACACTGTGGTTTCGGAGCTGTTGAACTTGAGCTGGTACCTACCTTATACCCAGCTCTCAGTACTTATAATCCCCATCTTACAGTTGAGAAAACTGATCATGTTGTCACTTCCGGAAGTCACTCAGCAGGCAGTAAAATGGTAGTCAGGAATTGAGCTCAGCCTTTTGTTGCGGGAGGTTGCTAGCTGAGATACGGGACTCTTGAGGCAATTAGCAGGAAGCAACTTTTTATTGTGCCAGCAGAGACTCAGCAGACTCATGTCCAAAGGCTGAGCCCCGAGAACAAAGGGGTCTCACCTTATAGACCCTTGCAAGCAGGTTACAGAAGCAAAAAGCAAGGTCTAATCCATATATGGTTATATTTAATTTTATTGGCTACTTTACCCTAGTGCTATGTGACTTTCCCCTCCCTGGTGCTACATGACCGTCCTCACGTTCAGATTTCTCAGGTTTTATCTCTTTGCTATGCCATCCCTACCTCCCTGCTACTTTTTTAGGACTCAGGCCTAGCCTGTTTTCTTCTGATCCTCTTCCCTGCTATGCTTTGGCTCACTCAGCAGCACTGCCCCTACTGACTGAGAATTGTGTCCAATAACTGCGCACCTGTGTAATAGAAGGGAGGATGGGGAAGATTGGGAGTGTGTGACACCATGGCTGTGGGGGGTAAGCTGGTTCTTTCCTCCCCCCAGGGTCAACTGTGAGACAGGGAGACATAGAACCTGCAGGGTTGTTGGGAGGATTCACTGAAGTAACAGGGGTTCCTTGCATCCTCTTCTTCCCTTCCCCACCTCCTACCCTGCAAGCGGTCTTTAGAGACCCATGATCAGCCACGAGAAATTCCAAGCTTGGAGCAGTTTCTGTGGACATTCGGATTTGACTTATCTGGACTGTCCTAGCCTCAGTCACCCTGGACCCTGCCTGCTCTTCCTTGGAGCTCAGCCTTCGCCTTGCAGTGTCTCCACTTTAATCCTTGATAAACACCTTCTGGGTACAGCCTGGCCTGGAGCCCTGAATTTTTCTGCAGACAGTGCCCACTAGGATATATAAAGAGTGTGAGAAAGAATGCCTTGAGTGAGTATAGTGTGGGTTTAGATACTCCTTTAAATTTCAGCACCACATATCAAAGAACTGCTTGGCTTTTCCTTGTTGAGTTTTACAAAGTGAACATTCAGCATGCATATCATAAAAGCACAGCCCAGACCAGGTGAGGTGACTCATACTTATAATCCCAGCTACTCAGGAGGCAGAGATATGAGGATGGTGGTTTGAGGCCAGCCTGGGCAAAAGTTAGCAAGACTGTGTCTCAAAAAACCAGCTGGGGAGGAGTGGGGAGAGTAGTGCATACCTGTGGTCTCAGCTACCTTAGGAGGCGGAGATAAGAGGATCGTGGTCCAAGGCCAGTCCAGGCAAAAGCTGGCACAAGACCCCATCTCCAAAGCAGACTGAAAAACAAAAAGCCCAGACTGTGGCTCAAGTAGTAAAGCACCTGTCTAGCAAGAGCTGAGGCCCTGAGTTCAAACCCTAGTACCACATACACACACAAAAAGAAACCCACAAGTACACGTGATGAATTTTCAACAAGCACACCTCTGTGTAAACAGCTTTCAGATCAAAACTCAGAAGATCACCTGTCCTGGTCCAATGCTCCCTATGGCGCATGCGCACACACGGACGCGCACAGGTGCTCTTTTTTTTTTTTCATATGTGCATACAAGGCTTGGGTCGTTTCTCCCCCCTGCCCCCACCCCCTCCCTTACCACCCACTCCGCCCCCTCCCTCTCCCCCCACCCCCTCAATACCCAGCAGAAACTATTTTGCCCTTATTTCTAATTTTGTTGTAGAGAGAGTATAAGCAATAATAGGAAGGAACAAGGGTTTTTGCTGGTTGAGATAAGGATAGCTATACAGGGAGTTGATTCACATTGATTTCCTGTGCGTGTGTGTTACCTTCTAGGTTAATTCTTTTTGAACTAACCTTTTCTCTAGTTCCTGGTCCCCTTTTCCTATTGGCCTCAGTTGCTTTTAAGGTGTCTGCTTTAGTTTCTCTGCGTTAAGGACAACAAATGCTAGCTAGTTTTTTAGGTGTCTTACCTATCCTCACCCCTCCCTTGTGTGCTCTCGCTTTATCACGTGCTCAAAGTCCAGTCCCCTTGTGCACAGGTGCTCTTGAGGGGCATGGACTCCCAGTAGTTGTGTGTGCTGCCTTCAGCACTGTCTCTGAGAGCCTCATCCCTTCTTGGGGTGCCAGCAGTGGTTTGTTTATTCTGATGCTGGGCAGTGGGCATGCATTTTGTTACATGGATGTGTCACAGAGTATCCACTTTTCTGTGTAGACATTTGGGTTGTGTCTTCCTTTAGGCTGATGTAACAACATACCACAGGCCGTTTATGAACAAGAGATATTGTACGGCTCACGGAACAGGGCACCGCGTGGCCTAGCTTTGTAGGCTCTACCCTCCCATGGTGGAAGCAGGTGACGGAGCTCTCTGGGGGTCCCACTTACTTATTTACTGATTTTCCTTAAGTCCTATTTATCAGAGCACTACTCTCACTCATGACCATTCCACACTCCTGACCTAATCCCACCCATGGCCCCCACCTCCTAATACCACCACATTGGGGAGGGGGATGCAAATATTCAGTCTATTACAAATGGTTCCAGTTTGGGGCAACTATTAACATTTTCCTGCATTCTAGAACATGTTTAGGGTGAATATGGGTATACTTGTCTGCTTAGGGGAGAAATTGCTGGCGTGGGTTGCTTGGATATTTTGCACTAATAGATGTCTCAAACTGGGGTTCCATCAATTTATACCTTCGTCTATGAGTGTTAGTTTGTTCATGGCTCCAGAAGTCATGGAGTAGGGAGGGAGAGAAGCCCAGACTTTGTCAGCTGCAGGAGAGGAGGATGGATGTTTGAAGATCACCACTCAGTGAGAGACTCTGGGAGACTTGGAGCTGGGTGACATTATTTGCTCTGCCGTCTGCAGTGGGGAGGCTCCTACCGGTAATGAGTGTAGGTGGCTGTTCAAGAACGAAGTATCCAGGGGAGGGAAGCCGCCCACACCTCCACCATCTCCAATATTTAAATGTCAATATGGCTTAATTGGCTGCTCGACTCCCCTCCCCCCTTCTTCCACCTCTGCCGCAGTAGCAGCTTCCAAACACAAGGCCTGGGGTGGCGGGAACACAGCCTTGAGTCATCAGTTGCTTCCTGGGTGACCTTGGACAGGTGAATCAGGCTGCCCCGTGAGTCAGCTGCCCTGGGAGCCTCACCTTAAGGAGGTGAAGAAGGAAGCTTAGACAAAGATCATGGCTGGCTGCAGGTAGAATTTTGATGGGTAAATTGGGCGGGGTGGCTGGATGAACAGATTAGAGAGATATGTAGGTAGGTATATAGACAAAGTACGTGGGATTCCTGTATAAATATTTCTATACTCGCACAAGCATGTAGGTATAGTCACCATTTTATTCAGCTTTTACTACCTCACAATAGGTCAACATTTCATGAGGACTTCCGCGGCTGGCATGAGGTACCTACACCTTTGCGCACCTGACTTCAGGGGGTTCTCCAACTAACCCTATAAGGCAGAACCTGTTGGCCCCTTTGTTCTCGGTAATGACATGGAGGCTCACAGAGTGTAACTTACCTGCCCAGGGTCACTCAGCCACTACATGACAGAACAGGACCCTAACCCCGTGTAGTCTCATTCTAGACCCCCACCCCTAACCAGTAGGCTAGACTTCCCACCTGGTTCCAAGCACCTTACCAAACTCCATCTCCTTCAATACTAACACAAACTAAGTTATCACTAGTTCCCTTTGGTAGATGAGGAAACGAAGGCCCAGAGAAGTTAAGTAACCCATCCAAAGATGCACAGTGAGTAGGAAGCAGTGCTGGGATTCGACCTGAGATCTCTCTAATACCAGAACTCTTGCTTCAACCATGGGCAATTAAATCTCAGCAAAGTCCAGTACAAAACAAGGGCTCCATGAGTGTTAAATGAATGATCTCAGTGCCTGGAGGATTTGAGCAAAAAAGTCATTGATTAGGGACAGAACGCTATGGTGAATCCAGAACAAATTCATTCATTCATTTGTAGACTGCTTACTGCACGTCTGCTCTGTGTGTGCTGGGATTGGGGCTCGTTGGGGAGGACAGGACCGGTGAGCATGTGGGTGGCTGAGTGAGAAGGTGTTATCGTCAACTTTATAATGTCCTTTTTCATCCTGTCATTCTTCTTAAACCACTGGTGCTCAAAATGAACTCAATGAGGCTGAAAATAGCTTGAAAAACCCTCTTTCTAGATGGGTGTCTGGTTTGGGGGTGGTGTTACTGGTGTTCACACACCCCTGTTTATAGGATTGTATGCACCATTTGCCAATGATACTTAGCACACATCAGCCACTGCTTTGCCGGTCTTTCATCACTGTCCCCACACACAGGAGACTCCTGGCAGGTGCAAGCCACTGGAACAAATGGCTGCCCATGCTGGCTGAGTGGTGTCTGAGGACCCAGAACTTGGTGTAAGCACAGCTTTCTATCTGTGAGATCCCAGATGGTTGGGGCAGGGAAGTCCCATTTCTAGAATGGGCTGGATTATTCAGTGGTCATTACACACCTGGACATATTGTGGAAATTTTGGAGAATTTATGAGAACTTCCTCCCAAACCATCTTCCCAGAACCAGCCCTGGGGTTCGGTCCCAGCTCTATTCATTACTTTTCTCAAAGGCACCAGAGAGGCAAGTCTGCTTGATTATTTGTGACTTCTTCTACCACTTGAGCCAAATCCCCAGCTCATTCTTGACTTCTGATAATGGGTGTGGGTCACCTTCTTCTTAATAACTGCCAATCATTTCAATAAATGATCTGTCCTTTTGCTTTTCAGCCTCTGTAAGGGACGGACCCTCTACTCTGTGGTGAGGGATGCCAAGATAGTCTTGGATGTCAACAAAACCAGGCAGATTGCCCAAGAAATTGTGAAGGTAACGTAGCCTCTGGAGCCCCTATCCGAACCTTCAGAAGACCTGACCCTCTCCTGAAAAGCCCACAGAGATCCTGAGGCTTGTGATCAAGGTTTAGATCACCAATCTGGACTTCAAAGAAATTAAACTTGACCTGGTAGTCCAGGTGGTGGGTACATAAGAATCCTGGAATGCTCTGCTAACCTTGGGTTCCATCTAGTGCTTTTGTTATCATGACACGTGGATATATGCAAGGACCCGTAGGCACGTATAACTTCTCTTGGTTCAGCTCCATTATCTCTGAATCCTGGAATTCCCATGAGCACAAGCTCTCTCTCTCTCTCTCTCTCTCTCTCTCTCTCTCTCTCTCTCTCTCTCTCTCTGTCTCTCTCTGTTTCTCTCTCTCTCCCCCCCCTCGCTCTCTCTCTCTCTCTCTCTCTCTCTCTCTCTCTCTCTCTCTCTCTCTCTCTCTCTCTCTCTCCCACAGCTGGGGAAACATCCAATCAGTGAGTGTTGTTTTGGATTGAAACAAACAAGAACAGCCTGTGTTTGCTGCCAGGTGTTTCCCATTGGAAGTGTTAGGACTGAGCTGTGAGAAGAAATAACAGATGTGACTGATCACAGAGACAAAAATAAGACATCTCTAGATGTTTGCCCTTAAATAGACCTCCCATAGACTCTTCTCTGTGTTTCTGATTGTCCAGCTCTCCCAGTGGCATTCTGCAAGTGTGTGGGCTGAGTAAAAGAAGGAGCGAGTCCCCCTGGGGACTTAGTCTTAAATGGAAGTGGGGTGATGGTGAATGGAGTCCCTTTCTCTGGGGACCTCACCTGACCATTCTTTGTTTCCTCTTAGGGAAGCAGACCAACTAAGTGGAGATGGTTTTGCAGTCATCTGTAGGTGGTGGCGGGTTTGTGACTTGGGGATCCTGCCTGTCCCTGTTTGCCATACCTTCTCCCACCCCATGTCCAGAACCCCAGGCTCTTCTGCCATCACAGCCCCAAGCAAGGGTGTCAGCAAACAATTGCATTTTCTTTGACAGCTCCCTATTCTGCCTCTTGCAGGGCATGGGCTACCTCCACGCCAAAGGCATCCTTCACAAGGACCTCAAATCCAAGAATGTCTTCTACGACAATGGTAAAGTGGTCATCACAGACTTCGGACTTTTCAGCATTTCTGGGGTCCTGCAGGCTGGCAGGTGAGTGATGTGGCTGGCGTGCCAATGAGGGACACCAGGGTCATGCTTTTATTCCCATGGAGTTAGCCTCTTGCTTACCTGTCCTGCAAAGGGCACCTGTGAGTGCAGGATTCAGGGATGCTGCTCTTGCCCTGGAATTTGACTCTAGAACTCCCCCCTTACCTGAGTTCCTCCCTGGAAGATGGGATTACCCTGGAGCCCTTGCTTCAACTTGTGGTAGCCTTTAATTCGTTTCAGCACAGCAAGCACACAGTGCAGACCACGAGTTTAAAGTCAAGCTTTCTGGGGTCCCACGTGGCTCTGCCACTTATTAACTGGAACTATAGTCAAGGCACACAATTTCTCTGAACTTGATCTTCCTTGTGTATAAGAAAATGGCATCTCCCATCCAGGGTCCTTGTGAGGACAAAAGGGATGAAATATGACCATCTTTGTACATCAAATACCTGCAATTAGTAGCATTGCCTGGTTGTCAGCAATTAGCATCGATTTTGCATATATTTCCTGTGTCACCCAGGGAATTGCTGACCATCACTAAGAAATTAACTCTCAGAGGCCATTCACTCTAGAGCAAGCTGAGTTGACCATGTGAGAGACAGGTTGGTCCTAAATAAACAACCCATCATGCAGAAGCTCTATCCTTGTGACATTTAATTTGGAGGGTGCACACATATGCAAAGACACATGCCAGTTTGCATGCATGTACGCACATGCATGGGCACATAAACCCTGTGTGTTTTCTCATTGTATATCTTATACCAAATGACCTGTCTCAGCAGGATGGTAGGTCCGTGTTTTCTCTTACTTTATTTAAGTTTCATTTGCTTTGCAGGACCGTTGATCTCTTTAAAGCACACTGTGGACCCCAAAGGGGATTGGGTCCCTACTTAGGCTGCCTTGAAACTAAGGACCACTTGAAATCTTATAAAACTTAATGGAGCTGTTTCTGTGGGGTACAGTGACAGGAAGCAGCCTGTTTCTTTTGCAGATGTCATCCCACCCAAAAAGGATTTTTCTGCTCGCTAAAACCAGCAGTGGTGCTAAATAAGAAAATAGCTAAGCAGGAAATAAACATGTAAGTAGACAGACACAGAAGAGTTCCTGCCTAAGCAGCCAGCAGGCTGGACTTCCTCCCTCTGGCTGCCACAGCACTTATAATTTCCTGATTTGCTATATTCCCTGGTTTCCCAGTGTTCAGGAAAAAGGGCCCATCTTATCACTATGAACCCAAGTGTTTCCATGGAGACAAAAGGAGACCCAGCAGGTGTTTTCTTTAACTGGTCCAAGGCTCTTTGAAAACATCCCTGGCTCATCCCAACTACTTCAGAGGTAGAGATTGGGAAGATCATAGTTGGAGGCCAGTCCAGGCAAAAAAGTTTGCAAGACCCCATCTCAACCAATAAGGTGGGGTTGGTGGTGCACATCTGTCACCCCAGCTACATGGCATAAATAGGTAGGATCGAGGTCCAGGCTGGCTCTGGCAAAAATGAGACCCTACAGCAAAAGTTGGCACAAAACCCCCCTCTTCCACTCAAGAAATCCAATTCCTCCTGTATCTTCCTACTCTCCTTGCCCACATGGAAGGAAGTGGGCAGGACCTTTGGCTCTTTGGTCTCTGACCTCTTCTTCCTTTACACTATTGGCCTGCTGAAGCCACACAGAGAAGAAGAGAAAATGGGCGGCTTGAGCATCCTTTCCTTTGGCCCATTTGTGGAGCCCCAACATCAACCAGGGTGGAACCTCAGCCAAGTCAAGGGCAAGGTGATTTCTGGCCTGTTGTCCCCACCCCCCACCTCCACCCCAGCCTGGTTATCAGTGGAAACCCAGGCAGTGTCAGGAGAGGCCAGGATCCTCAGGCAGCAAGTTCTTCCAGTTCTGAGCTACAACAAGCACCCATCACTGGCTTCCCCTGCTCTATCCTGTCTCAGTTCTGGTCTTGATGCTGCCAATGAGTTGTTATCTGTCCTTGGGGTTCTGTGGGCTGACTGGGTTCAGACCATCATATACCCACAGTCAGGTGGGGTTCAACTTGGAGTCAGCTGAGGCCTTCCTTGTTCACACATCCAGGCTGGACTGGCAGAATAGCTGGAGGCTAGCAGGGTCTCTCTCTCTCTCTCTCTTTCTCTCTCTCTCTCTTCTTTCTTCATCTCTCTCACTCTCCTTACCTCCCCTTTCTTTTCTCTCCCTCTCTCTCTCTTCATCTCCCTCTTTTCTTCATTCCTCCTTCCTCTCTCTCTTTCTTCCTCTCTCTTTCCCTCCCTTTCTCCCCCTTTCTTCCTCTCTCCCCTCTCTCTTCCTTTCTCTTTCTCCTTCTCTTTCTCTTCCTCATCCCTCCCTCCCTCTCTCTGTTCCTCTTTCTCCCTCTTTCCTCCTCATCCCTCCCTCTCTTCCTGTCTCTTCTTTCACCTCTTTTCCTTATCCCTCCCTTCCTCTCTCCCCCTCCCTCTTCCTGCCTCCCCCTCTCTCCCTCCCCTCCCTCCACACCTCGCTCCCCTTCTCCACACAGCCCCCCTGCATGACTGCATTGGGCTTTCTCCCAGCATGGCGGTCTCCAGGGAATGAGGCTTCTTGCATAGCATCTGGGTTTCGCCACAGTGAGCATTCAAGGACCCAGGGTGAAGTCAAACCTTCTGATAATCTTACTTCAGAAGTCCTAGAACCTTCCTTCCACCTCATCCTGTTACCAGCAGGTCACTTAAGGCCAGTGCAAGCGCTCAGTAGTGAAAACCATGAGGTCAGACATTTTTCCTCTCCCACAGTCCTCAGCCAGGGTGGGACCAGGGCAGGGAGGGGAACTCTGGGGTTTGCCATGAGTCAAACCATTTAGTCAGCAATATTTCCTTCCAGTGCCACTCGGTGCCACAGGGTCCCCTCTCTTCATAAGTGGGCAGCTCCCAGCAGGAGGTGCTCCAAGCTCACCCTGGAGCCCCCAGTGCAGCAGTTGGAGTCTGGAAGCCGCCCTTGACCATGGGGCATCCAGGGCCCTGACTGGCAGCCCAAGGGCTGGATTACAGGAAGGAGAGGAGAGCAGGCCAGGCTGTGGGCACCACAGAGGCAGAGAGTCCATTCTGAGCCTCAGGCTCCCTCCGACACGCCTTCACTTGGCCAGTCAGCAAGTAGTTCCCCAGTGCTTGCTGAGTATATTAGTCAGCAGAGGCAGCTCTAACAAAATACCAGGTGGGGTGGCTTTAAAAGGGACACTTATTTTCTTACAATCCTGGAGGCTGGAAGTTCAAGATCAAGGTGTGGCAAACTTGGTTTCTGGTGAGGGTGGCCCTACCCAGCTTGTCGACCCTTCTTTCTGTGTCCTCACGTGGCCTCTTCTTTGTTCAGAGAGAGAGAGAGAAGGGAGAGAGGGAGAGAAGGGAGGGCAGGAGGAGAGAGAGAAAAAAAGAGAGAAAGGGCAGGACAGAGGGAGAGAGAGAAGAGATGAGAGACAGGGGAGAAAGAGAGAGAGAAGGAAGGAATGAAGGGGGGAGGGAGATAGGGAAAAATAGGAGAGGAGAGACAGAGAGAGGGCAGGAGAGGGGGTAAGAGAGAGAAGGAAGGAAGGAGGGAGGGAGGGAAAGAGAGGAGAGAGAGGAGAGGGTGAGAGAGGATGGGAGAGAGAGAGACAGAGGCTGAGAGAGAGAGAGAGAGGGAGGGAGAGAAAGAGAGGAGGGGGAGGGGGAGAGAGCAAGCTAGTGCTCTAGCTCTTTAAGGACACCAGTCCTACTGGACAGATTAGGAACTGAACTTTCAATCTCATTTACCCTACTGCCACCAAAGTCGCTTTTCCCTTTTTTATTGGTGCCTACTAACTGCACAAAATAATGCATTTCATATTGACCATTTTCTTATTTATCTTTTTTTTGTTTTTGAATTATCATACGCTAATAATACTGTAGCAGGAAAGGGAGGGCGGAAAAGAAACAGACTGTGTTCTGACAACGAGACGGGGGAGGGAATGCAAAGCAGAGAGAGAAAACTGAAAAAATTGAAACATGAAGGTCACATAGCATGGGGAAAATGAAATAGGCAATGGAGTCACATGCAGCCATATGTGGGCTGAGCTTTGCTTTTGCTTCTGTAACCTGCTTGCAAGGGTATGTAAGGTGAGACCCCTTTGTTCTTGGGGTTTAGCCTTTGGACACAAGTCAGCTGGGTCTGTGCCAGCACAACAAAATGTTTCTTCCTGCTCATCTGCCTCAGTGACTCAGATCTCAGCTCATAATTTCCCGCAACAATATGAGGGGATTTCATTGTGATCCTGTTACCTTTTTTGTCCCCCTGCCACTTCTTCCCAAATAAGTCCCCTTGTACTTCAATGTGTTTTTTAAAATCCAGATTCCACATAAGAGAGAAAACATGTGACATTTGTCTTTCTGGTTCTGGCTCTTTTTGCTTAGCATGAAGGTCTCCAGTTATACCCATTTCCTGCAAGTGTCAGAATTTCATTCTTGATGGCTGAATAATACTCCACTGTGTATGTGTACATGTGTGTACATTATCATATACTACCTTTCCTTTGTCCATCCATTGATGGGCACCTGGACTGATTCCATAACTCGAGAGTCGTAATTTTAATCCCAGTCACGTTGAGGGTTTAGGCCTTCAACATATAGATTTCAGTCCATAACACCCCAAGATAGATGACAGAAACTTATTTTAATTGCATATACATGTGAGTGCCAAGCCTGAGTTTCCTCACCTATAAAATGGGGGTGGGACCCTCCCTCACACAGGACAGAGGGAAAGAGGCTCCAGTAGGACTGTCACCCTAATGGTGACATTTCCCAAGGAACACCTGGGCAGTGGTGAGGACGCTAGTCTGGGGGTTTTAACCCTGATCTTGGCTGAGCACTTACCACCTCTGTGACCCCGGGCAGGTGGCTTAGGTGTTTCAAAGCTTCCTGTTTCCTCATCTACAGAGTAGAGGAGGAGTGTGGCCTATGATTTGGATGGATGACCTCACATACAGTAGGCGCTCAGCGGAGGGAGACCTGCCTGACCCGGCAGGGAGGAGATGGCCCAGTGAAGGGAGTATGAGCTGCACCTCTAGAGAGATCCTAGCATACAGCTGCTCTGCCATCCTCCAGAAAAGGTGTCATTTAAGATGCCAGCCTCACTGTGCCAGTGCCTGTAACCTGTTATTAATCATAATAATAACCATAATGAAGATGAGTTGAGCTGCTCACTAGTGGGTCCATCACCATAGGAACCAGATGCCCCGGGGTGTCTGTGCCAGGCCTGCTTCTAGCCCCTCCTGCCCCAGGCTGATGGTAATTGTATGGGCACCACGCCTCCTCCTGTGCCGGTGGCCTCACCATGCCAGTCCTCACTGGGGCAGGGAGAGGTGGCGGGGTTGTTTGGGAGGACATGGGAAGTGGGAAGTTTGCCCTTGTAGCTATATCCCCCCACCACACCATCCCCGCCACTGGCCCTGCCAGGAGAACGTTGGTCACGCCAAGGCCCCCTATTCCTTGGAGGATGTTCTTACTTTAGGCTCTAGTCTCAACCCCATTTCTGAGAAAGCCCACGCCTGTAATCCCAGCTACTCAGGATGCAGAGATCAGGAGGATCATGAATCAAACCAGCCTGGGCAAATAGTTCTTGAAACCCTATCTCGAAAAACCCTTCACAAAAAAGGGCTGGTTGAGTGGCTCAAGGTGTAGGCCCTCTCTCTCTCTCACTCTCTCTCTCTCTCTCTCTCTCTCTCTCTCTCACACACACACACACACACACACAACATAACACACACACAGAGGTAATAATTACATCAAATAATCATGTAACCCTGGAGGCCACCATAACCCTGTGCTATGCTTGCTCTCATTTTAATCCTGTCAACAGTTGAATGCAGTACAAATTCACGTGCCCATTTTGCAGATGGAAGGTAGGGACCGGAGTCTGTTTGAGGTCTCCCAGCTAGGGAGCAGCAAATGGGTCTGCAGGTGCCATGACTCTAGAAGCAAGAACTATTTCAACTGCCACTTCCAGGGCTTGCTAGAGGGTTGAAGTCCTCTTTCCTAGGGAGGGATGTGTTCTATCATGTTGAGAAGAAGGTGGGTATGAGTCTTAGTTACTAACGCTGGAGCTCTGGAAATTGCTCTGTTCCCTTATTTTGCATGAGTTAGAACAGAAATTCTCAGCAGTGCTTATTTTTTTCACCCAGGGTCATTTGGTGGTATCTGAAGACATTTCTAGTTGTCACCACTGGGGAGAGGGTGTGACTGACTTCTAGTATGTAGTGACCAGAGACACTGTGAAAAATTGTGCAGTGCACAGCACAGCCCCCCACAGCAGGGAATCATCCAGACTAAAATGTTAGTACTGCCTATGTTGAGAAGCCCTAAGTTACAACTGATGTGTCATCGGTATTCAGCCAACCACATTGCTTTCTGTCACATCTGCCAGTCTGCCCCTAGCCCGGGAATGCAGGAAAGGGAAAAAGGGCCAGGTCCTAGAGTGACTCACCCATGCTAAACCCCCATCCCAGCACAATGAAGGGTGACGATTGTCCAACTTCTCGGCTTGGCTTCCTTCCCACGGCCCCCGTCAAAGCCCCCATCCAAATGGGTGCTATTTCCTGTGTGAGACGTGGACGGAAACACACGTCTAGGATTACCTAACTTACTTCCTCCCAGCTCACGAATGCAACAAGTGTGCTGGAACCCCAGCTCCTCAACGTAGCCTCTGTTGAGGGTGCTCTCCCCTACTGGTGTTTCTGACGCAGGAAGATTTGGGGATGGCATAACCAAGTCCTCCCTAAATTGTAATGTGTGTCAGAAAATGCTACTTTCCATTTACAGCTGTGCTAAGAAGCGACTTATTAAAGCGTAGTTAAACCAGGTATGGTGGTGCACACCTGTAATCTCAGCACTCAGGAAGCTGACGCAAAAGGATCGCAAGTTAAGCCATCTGGGCCATGTAGTGAGATTCTGTCTTAAAAAAACTAAGGCCTGGGGTGTAGCTTAGTGGTTGAGTTCTTGCCTCGCATGGACAAGGCCCTGGATGTGATCACCAGCATCACAAAAAAGAAAATACATTTAAGTTAAAAAAATTCATGTTTAGTAAATAATTGTCTAGATTTAGGTTATGTGACTTGGTTGCCACTAGCCACATGTGTTTGTGTACATTTAACTTTCATTACTATAGAATGAAAGTAAAAATCCAGTTCTTCAGTCACACCAGTCACCAATCAGGGCACCATATTGGATGGCCATCTTGGATGGCCATCTTGGGCGGCCATTTGGGACAGAGAGCACCTTCATCATCATGGAGCACTATCAGACCGTGCTGCTCCTGAAACTGTTCAGATATGGCGAAAATCATGATTATGGGATGCGAATGAGTGCTCTTGAGGGGCCAGTGTGTCACACACAGCTCAGAAACTCACTCTAGAAGAGTGCTGGAATCCAGCCAGCCCCAGGCCCCCATGGCAACCTTCACTGCAGTCATGGTTTTCGTGATCTCGCTCTCCATCCACAGGGCCTTTGTGTCAACTGACCCTTTCCCAGGAGTCTTCAATCAGTGAAAACCGCCTGGGAGTTCTACATAGGTGTCAGTCGCAAACAGACAGCTCTGGTTGGCTAAAGATTTGCGGTGTATAAAAGGGACCCAGCCTCCCTCCTCTCCTAAGCATTTACCCTAGGGGACAATGACAGATGTGGACAACAGGAGACAGTCACAGTATCTCCCCAAAAATGTTCATTGCAGCCTTACTTAGAATGATAGAAGGAGGAACCAACCAAGGCCCATCAGTCAGGAGTTGGTTGTGCACATTTTGGTACACGTGACACATGGTGGTTCCAGTTACACTGGTGTTCTTTAGGTCTCTAGAACAGTCCAATGGAGCCAACCTTGGGCCTTGGACCTTGAGGCTAACTTTCTCTTCTGCCTTGGATATTCTTCTTGTTCATATAGTGAATCCCTATTTTAATTCTTTGAATAACACTTATCACTACCTATAATTTTGTTTTTGTATTTTATTCATTTGTCTCCTTCCCCAGCTGAAGGGGAGTGGCAGGGGCCACGTTGAATGTTGTGATCCTGATACCAAGAAGCTACTAGAATGACTTTGTGGGGTTTTTTTAGGATTTCAGATGATGATCTGTGTGAGATTTGTGTGTCTGTCTGTATTTCTCAGTATTTGATAATCCAGCATTCCTGGTGACTTTACACTACAAAATGTATCTCCTACAAAAAAGAACAATTGGCTGGATTTATTGAATGGAGACAGATAAGGAAGTCCTCAGAGGCATCAGGAGCCCATGATGGTTTGGTGTTGAGGTCTCCCCAAGTCACCATCCCTACACCTCTCTTCCTGTGCCTCCCAGTGGGTCTCAGCCTCAAGTTCAAGGCCAGGCAATGCCCAGCTGGGGAAAGAAAGCAAAGTCAGCAGTGATGGTTCTGGGGACTTGGGGTCAGGGCTGGGGACCCAGCCTCCCTGGGCTCATTGTGTGATTTGATTTTTCCAGGCGGGAGGACAAACTGCGCATCCAGAATGGCTGGCTGTGCCACCTGGCTCCGGAGATCATCCGCCAACTGTCCCCTGACACGGAAGAGGACAAGCTGCCCTTTTCCAAACACTCCGACGTCTTTGCACTGGGGTAGGTGGCAGGGACATGTCCCCAGCTTCCTGCAATGTTTCTGGAAGGGCCAGGAAGGAGTCAGGGGAAGTGGCTGGATTTCTGGGTGAGATTTAGGGGACCCGAGTAGGGTGTTATAGCAAGAATGACCTAACACACCTGCATGCCTGGTTCTTAGGGGTGTGTCCATCGTGTCACCTGACGCGTTCACTCATTCATTCATTCCTTGGCTCAGCGGCTTTTGCTGGACACGCTCTGTGTTCATGCGGCATGGACCATCCCTCCTGCTAGGGGTCCAAGATTCAGTCCCATATTCCCTCTCTCTTGCTGCATTACACAGCATCCCAGAACACAGCAACCTAGAACAACTTGGATAGCATCAAGTTTCTGTGCTCAGGAACGTGGGGATGGCTTAGCTACATGGCTTAGTTCTCTCCGGAGGTCACAACAGTGTCAACGAGGGCTGCTGTCTCCTCTGAGGGCTCGATGGGCCAATGAGCCACATCCAGGGTTGGCCACTCACATAGCTGCTGGAAGGATCCCTCCTTCCTCACCACACATCTGGTCATGGCTGCCCATGGCAGTGGGGGTCCTCAGAGCTCTTATGACCTGGTCTCAGGAATTGGGTAGTGCCACGTCTGTCACATTCTTTTCTATGTAAGTTTTATTTAATTTAAAAAAATTAGCAGTACCGGGATTTGAACTCAGGGCTCCACACTTGCTAGGCAGGTGCTCTACCACGTGAGCCACTCCACCAGCCCTTTATTTAATTTTTGACACCAGCCCTTTTATTTAATTTGTAATCATTGTACATCTTTAGAGGATATGACATATTTTGACACGTGTATACGTTGTGTACTGATCAAATCGAAGTAATTAGCGTACGCGTTGCCTTACACATTTCTTTGTGTGAGAATGTTCCAGATCTCTTCCAGAGAGGACAGTACGGTGAACCACAATGCATTGCACACGTCCGCCCTTTTTCACTTGTTAGAAGCAAGTCACTAAATCCCAGCCCATACTCAGGGAGAGGAAGGTTGCATTCTGCCTTTCACAGAAAGGAATATCAAAGAATGCATGGAAGTATTTGAAACTCACCACAGGTCCCTACTCTGTCTCGTCCAGTGAAAGGCACATAGGGAGGTGGCTTTAGAAAAGTATGGTAAACACAAGACCCTGGAAGCTAACCTGGGAGGGCTTCCCAGAGGAGGCAACTCCTAAGCCTAAGTTAAAGGTTGGATACTAGCTAAAGTGAGGTATTCCAGACAAGGAATGTGTGCAAAGGCACTAAAGTAGAAAAGAACAGATTGTCCACAATGGAGGAGTGTGTTGGGGTCAGAAGAGGGAGGCAGCTGATAGATGAAAGTCAAGGGGGAAGTAAGGCTGGGGCTGGAAAGATAAGGGGCCTGCGTGGGAAGTGGGGTCAATCCTACAAGGGCTTAGTGGCTAAATAAAGATTTCATTTCATCTTGGGGGCACTTGGGAGCCACTGATGATTATGGAGCACAGAAATGGCATTATCATAACCTGAGTTCCAGTCTGTTAGGTCACTCTGGCTATCGTGTGAGAATGGAATGGGGAAGGACATGATGGAGGCTGGGCGGCCTCTCCAAGGGGGGAAGCTGGCAGCCTCCATGGAATCAGTGCCTGTGGGTATGAAACTGAAAGCTTACAGAAGACATGTCAGCGGGTGGAAGTGCTGGAGCCCAGTGATGGGTTGATGCAGGTGGTGCTCAGATGGCTGCCTTAAGCAAGTGGGTGGAGAATGGCGTCATTCACCAAGGTAGAGACTGTGGAGGTGAGGCAAGGTGGAGTTAGAGGGAAGGCAGAGAAGTCAGGTTTGGACACCGTGAGTTTGAGAACCTTGGAGGTGACTGTGGACCCAGCAGGAGGCGCTGAGTCTCTTCATTCAGGCTCTGGAAGAGGCACTTAGGACCTGTGAGCAAATAGTGTCTCTCACCAAGGGAAAGAACAAGCTGACTTTGGAAGTAAAGGGTAAGAAGAGCAGCCCAAGGCAGGACAGAAAGGCTGGGAGCAGTGGCTCTCGCCTGTAAACTTGAATACAAGAGACAGAGATTGGGAGGAATGCAGTTCAAGGTCAACCCCTTCTCAACCAACAAAGTGACTCAGGTGATCCCAGCTACAAGGGTGGTCTAGGTAGGAGGATTGCAGTCCAAGGCCTGCCCGGGGCAAAAGCAAGACCATACCTGAAAAATAAAGTTTAAAAAGGGCTGGGGAGGTGGCTCAAGTGGTAGAGCAGCTGCCTAACAAGTGCCAAGTCCTGAGTTCAAACCCCAGTGCCACCAAAGAGAAAAAAAAAAGGAGGAGGTGGAGGAGGAGGAGGAGGAGGGCAGAGCACAGTGTAAAGATACACTAGAAAACCTAGGTCCCATTCTCCAAATGGCCACGTTAATCCTTGCCTTGTCCCCAGGGTTGTTTTGAGAACTAGGAGAAGCAGCCCAGGGGATGCTGGCAGGGACCGTGGCAGACCTGCAGGGGTGTGCAATTAGACTCAGCCCCCCTGAGATTGTCGTGAGCCCCCGACAGGGCGTTCCGAGTTCCGAATTCAAAGCATCTGCCACCAGGGTCCTTTTTGAGACCGTGGCTTGCTCTGATTAGTTAATTCTCAACTCTTTATCTAGTTAGCTATCGTTATCTGAAACCAAATTGCAATAATTAAGTTGGTATATTTTAGTGTAAATTTAGCCAAAGGGGAAAAAAATGCAATTAACAAAATGTACCAAAGTAAGTAATTGCTTTTCCACTAGAGTTTTCATCTGCAGCGATTTTTTTTTCACAAAGTGAATTTCTCTTCAAAGTTGGGTTTAAGGAAGTTTTTAATAAGCCTTTTTATTCCTGACACTATTGGGTCGAGAAGGGCCTTGCACTCTTGGATTCCTGTCAGTTAGGAGTATTGACTTGGGAACCTCACGCTCAGGAGTGACCTAGAACACAAATGGACCTTGAAAGTTCTGTTTTTTATGTGCACTGGCTTGTGCAGTCCTCACAAGCACACTTGAAAGCAAGAACCACATTGTACCCAATTGACAGGCGAGGAAATCGAGGCTCCAGGTGTCTTGGTGACTCTTCTCATGGCATCCGTGGTAGAGCCGAAAGCTGCAACATCTAGCAAATGGTTGGGGCTTTTAACCATGGACTTGGGACTTACGTCACACCCAGAGCCTCGCTTCAAGGTTAAAGCCCTGTAGCTCAAGGTTATTAAATCCACTGAGGCGCTCTAAGGATGGAGAACACATCTGTAAGGCACTCGGCCCAGGGAAGAGCTCCGGAAAGACATCTGTTTCCCTCCCATGGCGGGGCAGCATGCAGGCTCCAGCCATCAGCTGCTAGGTTGTACCCCAAAATTGTCACTTCTGCTGAGCTTCCCAGCTGGGCCAATGGCACAGTTCTGGAGTCACGTGGACTGGGTTCAACTTCTGACTGCTCTCCTTATTGGCCGTGTGAACATGGATGAGATACCTGACCTGAGCCAGGTGTGGTGAGGGCACAAGCCTGTAACCTCAGCACTGGGAAGACTGAGGCAGGAGGAGTGAGAGCTCCAGGCCAGCCTGGGCCACTAGTGAGCCTTGTCTCAAAACACAGACAGGAAGGAAGAGAAGCAGGAGGGAGGAAGGGAGGGAGGAAGAAGGGAGGAAGAAGCGGGGTGGGGCGGGGGGAGGAAGGAAAACACTTAACTTTCCTGAACTTCAGTTTTGTCCACTGCAAAATGGGACAACAGTAGGATTTCCTGTTTTAAAACAAAAGTTTTATTATTATTCAGGTGTACCAAGGCCAGCAGACCAGGAGACAGTCACCATGGAGAAGATAGCTTATTAGCTGCAGTCCCAGATGAAAGGGACCTGCCATAGCACATAGGGTCCAGGGAGGGAGCAGGCAGGGCCAGGCCAGCCAGCAGGCCGAGGACAGCCAGGTGAAATAATGCCAGTGGGCTGTGGGTGCAGGCCTGAGGGACTGTGACCCTGTGGCCCTGAGTTGGAAGCTTGGGACCCTGGGCACAGTACTTCATGTTTTTTAAGGCAAATTTACATAAATTATCTGAGTGCAGAGGGAAGAGCATTTCCTAGCATCGTTTTGGATACGTGCTGATGGAGGAACCAGGTTCTTGGAGGACTGAGATCCGTGCCCACGGAACAGCTCAGTGACACCCCAGCCTCCCGTGCTCATCCGTCCTGTCCTGTCCTCTCTGCTGGCCACACCTCATATACCATGTGTGCACAGCGGGCTGTCACCCTGTCACCAGTGTGTGCTACTCACTGGCACCATCCTTCCTGCCTTCGTCACAGTGTCATGCCTTATAAAACATGATAACACATCAAGAAATAACTCTAGCACCCAGTTCTCCTGGGGTTCTGCACCCCAGAAACACTCCACCATGGCACTTTCGCCACTATTCTCAATTGGCAGCTAAGGGAACTGTGCAGAGAAAGGACTTAAGATGCCCAGCTTCGCACTCCTAGGACCCACTCAGAAATCTTTTCATTCCTTCCTTTTTTGTTTTGGTGGCATTAGGATTTGAACTCAGAGCCTTGCACTTAATAGGCAAGCCATGTACCACAGAATCCATGTCCCCAGCCCTTTTTCCTTTACTTTTTTTTTTTTAAGTTATCAGTTTATGGGCTGGAGGCATGGCTCAAATGGCAGAACCCCTGCCTCGCAAGCACAAAGCCCTGAGTTCAAATCTTAGTACCGAAAAAAAAAAGATATCAGCTCATACTTTTCAGCTTCAAACTGCTATCTACCTTCTAAGCAGCTGGGATTAAAGACATATGCCACCACATCCACTGCACAATATGGTTCATCCCTGAAAACCACAAGCCATCGTATCTCGTGACTTCAAAGAGGGCATCGGACTCTGTGTGCAGTCTTGCCTTCGGCTGTTTTTACTAAAATGGTCTACTGAGCGTTTTTTCATGTGAGCGAAATGTCTTTGAAATGTTCTCATGATAATACAGCATTCCACTTCATTTTATGGACTTACATCACATATAAAACCAAACTCACTTGAATAATTGGGTTAGTTCTCCTTTTTTTTTTCAGTCGTATGTATAAAGCCATAGAGAATAGCTTAAATTATTCACCTCCAGTACTTTCCTAGAATTACAAAGATCGGGTCAGAAATCGTAACCACATTGTTTTAAACAACTCGGGTTCTATGTTTTGATTCTTTTTTTTTCAACAGTACTAGGACTGGAACTCAGGACTTTGTGCTTGCCCCACCCCCAGCCTTTTTGCAGTAGTTACTTTTCATGTAGGGTCTTGCACTTATGCCTGGACTATGATCCTCCTACTTACACCTCCCTCGTAGCTGGGATGACAGGCACACACCACCACACCAGCCTTCTTTGTTGAGATGGCATCTCACTAACTTTTTGCCTGGGCTAGCCTCGAACCATGATCCTCCTGTCTCTGCCTCCTGAGTAGGTGGGATTGCAGATTTGTAACTCATTTTAATTTGGGCAGCAAAGAAGGTATCTCGAGATACGCATGACTTCTAGGACATTGAGAAAGCTTTATGTGAGGCAGAGAGCAGGATGCCAACCCCTTGAGGCCAAAACTGGGGAGAGGAACAGTCGGTCAGGTGGCTGGCTGGGTTGGTGGGTGGGTATTGGCAAGGAGGTGCTCCAGGGACACAACAACTCCCCTTTAACTTGTCTTCCAACAGCACGATCTGGTACGAGCTCCACGCCAGAGAGTGGCCTTTCAAGACCCAACCGGCAGAGGCAATAATCTGGCAGATGGGCACAGGCATGAAGCCCAACCTCAGCCAGATAGGCATGGGGAAAGAGATCTCGGTGAGTGCAGTGATGGTGCCAGATCTGGAGGACCAGGGGAGGGAGAAGCAGACACAGCCCTGGGGTTTCTTCTCCCCTTGTGTGAAGGTTACAAGTGCTTTCTCGGAGGCAGTTCATGGTTTGGAGTGTTTCAGAGCAAGGTCTTTGCACTATGCCTGCAATTCCAGGTGCCTGCCACCAGGGGCGTAGTAACACTTGTCAGGCTTTTCTTAGCAAGGGTTTGCAGAGTCAGAGCCAATGAATCCCTCTTTTTCTGTTATTTTCATTTTTTTAGAGATATCGTTTAAAATAGCACAAATATTATTGGTTTCAGTTTTATTTTCATCCACATAATAATTTTAAGGCATTATTCAACGAGATAGAAACAGAGAAGCCTGATTCCAAATGAATAATCTTCCTCTTACACACAGTGGGAAGAGCCCTCTCTTTTGATCAGAAGATAGGTAAGTCAGGGAAGCAGTAATTACCTGGTATGTTTGCCAAGGTCACCTGCCTCCAGGTTTCCTTTCTTGGGTGAGGAGACCATGAAAAGGAACTTTTCTCCTCTGGTACTTTGTAGGCTACTTACATTATTAGCTGTGTGTAGCAAGAGACGACATGATTTCCTCCTACCCCTCACTTTTGAGGAAAAGTTGAGAAACTCCTTGGAACTCTTACTGACTTGAGTAAGATGGCCTTCTAGTTTAAAGGCCGCCTAGTCTGTCACACAGACTCAGAAAGTAAGGATGGATGGAGGAAGGGAAGGCTAAATGACAGATGGGTGAGTGGATGACAGATGAGAGAGGAATGAATGAATGAATTGATGTGGATGGATGACATGCTTGGCAAATGGATGAATGGACTGATGGAAGGATGAATGGATGGATGGACAGATAGATGGACAGGTCAGTGGATGGATGGGTGGGTGTGTAAGTAGATATGTGGATGGGAAAGTGGATGGGTGCATGGGAGGCAGACGGATGGATGGTAGATGGGTGGATAGACAGGTGGACGGACAGATGAATGGATGTACGGGGGATGGAGGGATATGGAAGCTGGGCATACAGGTAAACAAGTGGATAGACCCAGTGGGGTGCCGAGGTACCAAGACTTCAGTGAGGACCCAATGAGGTCGTCGCTTAGGTTCAGTCACCGTTCCCTCTTCTCTTTCAGGATATTCTTCTGTTCTGCTGGGCCTTTGAACAGGAGGAGCGGCCCACCTTCACCAAGCTTATGGACATGCTGGAGAAACTGCCAAAACGGAACCGTCGTCTGTCCCACCCCGGGCATTTCTGGAAATCTGCAGAGTAGGTCTCCCTCCACGCCTCTCCCTACTGCCTGTCCTCTGGCTTTGTCACCATTTTGCTCCCCTCTGCCTCTCCTCCCCCAGCCAGCCCCTTTCCATGTTCCCAGCCCCCAGCCACCACCCTTCCCGACCAGTTTCCGTCCAGGGCTTGGATCCTAGAATCTGCCTGTGCTACCATGGTGGACTCATTGCTCAGCTCTTCCTGACAAAGGCTGACGCCCCCTAGCTGAGCAGCCTGTGGCAAGGTGATGCCCCATATGCCATGTGCTCGGGGTCCCCTCCAAGAGGCCCGGATGGATGGAAATCTCCCTCCGGTGCCAGCACTCTGCATGTGTCAGAGCAGTGAGCCCAAAGACAGGACGGGTTCCCGGCTTCTCCTCGCCCGTGTCTCTGCTTCCTCATCAGAGGCCCCATGTCCCTCCCGTCCTGTTTCTGGCCGACACCACCTGTCCACTCCCCAGCCCAGCCTTCATGACTGACCTCTCTAGAAGGTGAGAGGGAGGCAGGCCCAAGAGGTGTTGTCAGAGGGACCCTGCTCCCCACTGCTCCACCCACCATGTGCTCCCAGGCACATTCACACAGACACACACACACAGGAACAGTGCCTAAACACACCCATGTGTGCACACTCACACAGGTGCACTCAGATGTGCACACGCACTCATCCATCCGCAAGAATGTTCCATGGAAGTCCAGCCCTACACTCATACCTGCAGGTACATGGGCTCAGGTACATTCACGTGCAGGTACACAGATGTGACACCCGAAGGCACACACCTCATACATGCTTGCACTGTCGGGCTGCTCACCAGTACACGCCTACACGTGGGGGTGTGCACATTGTCACAAATGTTAACGAAGCCTATCTGCGTGCACAGGCATACTACAGCCACTCTGTCGGTCTCCGCATGGGAAGACCGCAAAGTCCCAGGGGCTGGAGATCAGGAGACCCCCCTCTGGTCCTCACCCTGACACTCGGGGGCGGTGGGGGAGGGGATGGGCTCTCCTCTTTCCCAGCCTTTCCTAGGCATTTAGAAAGAGCATAGAGTTCACGGTCAGGCGGACAGAAATTGGATCTCTCCTCTTGCTTAATTGCTGTGTGGCCTTGGGAACATCACTTGGCCTCTCTGTGCTACAGTCTCATGCTCTGAAAATTAGGAGCAGTGACGCCCCCCAGCAGGAGTGCTGTGAGGGTCCAGTGAGGTCATGCTCTGTGACACTTGGTACAGTGCATGCTACGTAGAGGCTGCTCACCATACCGTGGCAACCGCTGTGTGCCGGGAGGGAGCCTGAGTCCTGTTCGGGTGGCCTGGCAGGGTTTAGAGCCAAGTGGACATGAACAAACAGCAACGTCTCTGCCCAGCTGCGGGGGGCACAGGAGAGGTGGAGAACTGGTGTTGGAACTCTGGGCAGGCCCCAGGAGTCCCCACCCAATGACCCTGCTCTCCTAGGGATCAGGAGAGGACAGTTCAACTGAACAGGACTTAAAGCTCTCTGGTGGGAGGAGGAAGTAGGTATTTTTCTAGAGCCCACTGCAGACAGGGGCTCAGAAAACAGGCATCGTGGGACCTCACTGATTGGAATTTGCTGTCCATCCACTCATCCATCGTTCTTTTTGTAATTATCCAGTGCATGTGTGTTGAACACCTATTGGGAACCAGACACCATCTTAAGAATGGCGAACCAAATTAATGAAGTCCTTTTGCTGCTGTGAACAGCAAGTGGGAGTCCACAGTGCTGATTTGGTTTCACACTCTCAACCTGTTTCCAGCTTTTACAGCCTCCCCCAGCCCGCATGCTGGATGACCTTCCTGAGGGCACAGACTGTATGCTTCAGTGGAAGAGCTCTGAGTTCAAATTCTGGCCCTGCTGCTTCCTGGCTGTGCACCCTTGGGCAAAACACTTGACCTCTCTGAGCCTCAGTTTTCATCTGCAAAAAAGAGTTCATTGTGCCTGTATCTCAGACTTAAATGAGATCTGGAATTCGTGGCCCTTGGTAGGGCCTGGCCCCCAGCCAGCAGAAGTCCGTTCCACTCATTCTTGGAGAGGACAGGAGTGGCCAACCTAATGCCCTGTCCAAAGGATGGTGTTGCCATATCTGTGCACCCGCTCACCACACTCTCTTTTCTCTCCCCACTGCAGGCTGTAACCATGGGACATGGCATGGCATCTGCTGCGTCAGCTCCTGAGCCACCTCTCCCTCCCTGCTCTGCTCTCTGCCAGCTCAGGAGGCCACAGGCTCACTACTAGAGGGTCCTGACCCCACCAGCCTGGTAGCACCGCACAACTGCACTCCGGGGCTACACACACCCCAGACTTGAGCTCCCTTTCTCAGGCGGGGTTGGGAACCCCTGAGCAAAGACTGAACTGGACTGGGGGAACAGTGTAGAGAATTACAGGCTGAAAGCGGAGCCCGTGGCTGTGGAGAACAAGACAGGAGATCCCCCGTGGACAGACTCCCAGGACCAGTCTCTGGTCTCCTTCCACCTGGACAAGGAGAGGCCACACTGGCCCAGCTCCAGAGTGCCCAGCTGCTTTGTTTGCATGGTGGGTCCCGGCTCTGCTACCCGGGAAGGTAGGATGGAGACGCAGGGTCAAGCAACAGCTTGATCAAGTCTACTAGGCCAAGGTCAGAGTGGGGAGGGTGTGGGCTAAGTTCATTCCTTTGGAAGTATGTGTTTTCAGAGACCACCCCGACCCCAACCCAAGCCTGAAATGCCCGTACTACCTTTTCACATGGCTTCAAAGGGCAGCTAAACAGGTCTGCATGTCTTCTGAGCACTGGGTCCCTGGGGACCAGTCCCTCGTTCTACCTTGTCCCCTGTTCTGCCAGAAGGTCATCCCATATCACCTAAATGTGCAACCCTTGCTGTTTAGAAGGCACAGTGGCTCCTCAGGGCAATCTTGACACCCCCTGAAGGCTGGGCCCTGAGGAGGGAGTTCGATTACACCCCTCGCTCTTTGGCGCTTCCACACTTAGATTTGCTTCTCCGTGGTGATAGACATGGGTCCCCGGGATGTATGTTGGGTTGCGTGGGTGTACGCATAACTTGTTTAAGAAGAGTCTCTCTGTCTCTTACCCATCATAAGTCCTGTTGGGGAGGTGAGGAGAGACTGTGTTTGTAGAAATTCTGCCTGGGGCTCAGTCCCCGAGTAGCCTCCGTGTCCCCTTGCTCCCCAGCTTTTCCTGACCACACAGTCCCCTCCCCTCAGTGTCCTGCGTGAATGATGCTGGGAGCAGGTGGGTATGTGCAGTGTGAGGAGCAGGGAGAACCTGGGGATCCTTTGTCCATGTCCCCCAAGCCCTGGCCCTGTTGAGGGGACCTGGCACACAAGAGAAACCTACTCCCAAGCAGAGCAATAGCAGAGGTGGCTGGAAAGAGGGCAGGATGGAGGCCGCCCAGCCAGGCATCTCCCTCCCAAGAGGGGACCTGAGACTTTACAACTCTACCTGAGTTGAGACTCAAAATCCAACCAGATGTACAGGGATCTTCGCTGCCGTGGCTCACCCCACACTGCTCCATGCCCTGGGGCCATGCCACCCTCAAAGCCAGGGAGAAGGATGAGTGTAGCTGCATTCCATAGAGCCATGCCTGGGGTGCCCCCATGCTTCCCCCCAGGCCTCTCTTGCTTTGCCTTCCCAAGGTTCCTAGCTGTCTGGGACCTGTGGACTCAAAGCCCCCATGTAGGCTATTCCTAGTACACATTCCTCTCCTGGAGACAGCTGTACCTCTGTGACTCTTGGCTTGATATGTGTGCGTCTTGGAGGCATTTTACACACATTTGCCTGAACCCCGGAGCTCTGGAGTTGCTGGGGACTGTCCTTGTCAGAGACACCTTCCCGTCACACAGGCCCATCTGGGAACCAACCCTGTGACCCTGAGCTGGACTTGGAGCCGCCTTGACTCTGCCCAGCAGTGTCCTGAGTACCTGAGATCCAGCCACTTGCTTCTTCTGAATCCCAACAGGACCCCACAGGTCTAAAGACTCCAGTCTCTGTCGTGGGCCTTTGGGCCAAGAGGGAACAAGGAAGGGAAGAGATGGGAAGGATTCAAGCTCCCTGTAATAAGATGCCCACAAGAGCTGGTGCCTGCTCTCCTTGCTTCTCACTTCCAGAATTTACTAAAAGCGTTAACGTCAGCCTTTGGTGAGGCCCAGCAGAGCCCTTTACCATGTGTTCATGAGCACTCCTTTAGGGACAAAGACAGGACATAGTGATCCAAGGAGGAACCCTAGCCTTCCTGGTTTCTCTGGGGAATCAAAGTTCCTTGGGTCTACTCTTGGGTCCCATGTCACCTCCCCTTGACTGCTCACTCTTTTCGCCACTTCCTCAGCCAGGCTGGGCACCAGGCCTCCCTGATCTACCCCATGCCCCCACCCTGGCCTGATAACAACCTCTTGAATGTGCACCATTGAAATCTGGGGAGAACTGAACATTTCCTTTCTCCGATGGCCTCTGTCTGTTCACTGAGGACACACTGGGGGAAGACAGTCATTCATCCTTTGCAGAGCAAGAGAGAAGAGAGGAGGCTCAATGTCCTTCCATCCTAACCTGCCCATTCTGCAGCTCTTTTTCTGCCATGCGCCTGGCACAGATGTATGTGTGTGCCCCTGTGTCATCACCCAAGTCACCAGCTTCACAGCGAGTTGCTTGTGTCTGTGCCTCCCGTTCAGCAAACCCCTCTGTACACAGGCTTCCCACGTGAACAGTGCACAGGGTAAAGTCACCAGGAGGCCTTGACCTGGCAGAGAGAAGTATTTCTGCTTCCTTTGAGGGCCACATGGGTGGCACGCTGAATCCCACCAACCCCCTCAAGCCATATGTCTTTCATAAAACAAAAGACCCTCTTGGCCTTGTGTGGGGACATCCCCCAGTGTCCCCATCCCCAGAGCCAAACTGGACTCTCCAAGTCACCACTTACGTCCATTTTGGCCTCTTACTGGTCAAACAGAAAGATCTGAACTTACCACGAAACTCCCTCCACTTGCTCGCTGTGTCCATCTT